CACACACACACACACACACACACACACACACACACACACACACACACACACACACACACACACACTGTGCTTATTCACTATGGAGCTGCTGATGAGTAAAAACCATCGTCTTTTCATTCTATCCATTGTTTCTTTCTTGTTCTTTCTCCCTTCCAGCCTTCCTTTTACTTGGTTCTGATGAMGACTGACATTGAACTCTAGGCTAAAGTGGTGAGGTCAGCTGCAGGATAGATGCTCTCTGTTGCCTGAGTGTACCCAACGTCAACCAAAACAGCGTGCCTTGTTCCTGGCTGCTGTTAAATTGTTGAATAAGAAAACCTACGCACATCAGTCAGAGCTTTTACGTCAGGGAGAAATCTGAAAGGACCAAAAGAAGCACGAGGTCATGATGAAATGATAGCTCCTTCTCCACAAATAGCTTTAAAACTGTGAAACAGCCTCTGTTGATAACTTCATTAAATGGTGACGAGTATGAAAAATCTTTAAAAAATCTCCGTCATCTCATCATTTTGGCTCTGCTCTGTTTTCAGCTCTAAAAGGGATTTTACAGTCCAACAATGGGAAATTAATTATTTTAACAGCAACAACAAAGTAGAACCGGTGATATAAATACCCACTGAAATCCTTTTGATGACAGCCGCTGTAAATTAGAAGAGCAGAACGGGGTTTGATGTTACATTATCACATTTACACTGCGTGGTTATCGCTCAGACGAAAACACTGATGTGGCAGTCACTAAGGAAAGTGGGTAAAAAAAAGGAAAATACACAAACTGCACGGTGGTGAAGTGTCAGCGTGGACCAAATCTCATGCTTGGAGCTTTCTTGTTTTCCTCCTTTTGAGATTTACCTGCTTTTATCTGGCATTTTTCCTCACATTCCATTTAAAAATGTGTGATTGGTGAGATATTTTGCTGACAGATACAAACACGTGCATGCACAGATCTGTGTAAAAACATTGTTTATTATAACGGCGCTGGGTAGTAAAAAAAAAAAAACAATTGACAGCTCTAAAGTGACCTCAGCTGGWATTGAGCTAAAGTTTGTTAAAGAAAATCAAAAATAAAAGATTTTAAACTGAATATTGTTGATATTTTAAAGATATTTTCCTGAATGCAACAGCTGGGAATAATTTGTCTAGCCAAAGTGTTGAGCTGTCAATCATGAATCCACACCCTCRGTCATCGGAGGCCCCGCCCCCCTGCCAAAACACTGCCAGAAGTTTGAAATACCCAACAA